GTATTGCCCATCAGGTGATGTCCATGTGTAGAGTCACCTCTTGTGTTGTTGGAAAAGAGTGTTTGTGATGACGAGCTTGTTCTCTTGACAAAACTCTATTAGCTTTTGCCCTGCTTCGTTTTGAATTCCAAGGCCAAACTTACCTGTTGTTCCTTTTATCTCTTTACTCCCTACTTTAGCATTCCCCTATAATGAGAAGAACATCTTTCTTTGCTATCAGTTCTAGGAGGTGTTGTAAGTCTTCATAGAATTGGTCAGTTTCAGCCTCTTCAGCATTGGTGGTTGGTGCATAAGCTTGGATTACTGTGATGTTGAAAGGTCTGCCTTGGGTTCATAATGAAATCATTTTGTCATTTTTGAGATTCTATCCCAGTACAGCTTTTCCCACTTTTTTTGTTGACTATGAAGTCTACTCCATTTCTTCTACGGGATTCTTGCCCACAATAGTAGATATGATAATCGTCTGAGCTGAATTCGCCCATTCCTGTCCATTTTAGTTCACTGACGCCCAGGATGTCAATGTTTATTCTTGCCATCTCCTGTTTGACCACATTCAAACAAGGTTCATAGATCTTACATTCCAGGTTCCTATGCAATATTTTTCTTCGCAGCATCAGACTTTCCTTTCACTTCACATCCTTTCAGCTTTGGCTCAACCAGTTCATTAGCTCTGGAGCTACATGTACTTGTCCTCTGCTCTTCCTCGGTAGGAGGTTGGATGTCTTCCGACCTGACGGGCTCATCTTCCAGAGTCGTATCTTTTAGCCTTTTTTTCTCTCCATAGAGTTCTCTTTGCAAAGATACTGGAGTGGCTTGCCAGTTCCTCCTCCATGTGGATAGCATTTAGTCAGAACTCTTCATCCAACCTGTCTGTCTTGGGTGTTCCTGCACGGCATAGCCTATAGCTTCTCTGAATTACTGAAGCCCCTTCGCCATGACAAGGCAGCAATCTGTGAAGGGGAATTCCATGCTACGTATCATTAAAAAGGGGATAGAAAATAAGACAGCCAACATTATAATGCCATTGTACAAAACACTGGTAAGGCCGCACCTGGAGTATTTTAAATTGTTCTGGTTGCTGCACCTCAAAAAAGACATAGTGGAACTGGAAAAGGTGCAGAAGAGATTGACTAAAATGATGACTGAGCTGGGACAACATCTCCCCTATGAGGAAAGGCTACTGTGTTTGGGGCTCTTTATTCTAGAGAAAAGGCACCTGAGGGGGGACATGATTGAGACATATAAAATTATGCAGGGGGTGGATAAAGTGGATAGATGGAAGCTCTTTTCCCTCTCATGCAATACCAGAACCAGGGGACATTCACTCAAATTGAGTGATGGGAGAGTGAGAACAGACAAAATAAAATATTTCTTTACCCATCGTGTTGTTAGTCTGTGGAACTCCTTGTCACAGAATGTGGTCATGACATCTGGCCTAGATGCCTTTAAAAGGGGATTGGACAGATTTCTGGAGGAAAAGTTCATTGCAGGTTACAAGCCATGATGGGGATGTATAATCTCCAAGTTTAGAAGGAAGGTACCTCAAAATGCCAGATGCAGGGGAGGGGTATCAGGAGACAGCTATCTAGTTGTCTCATGTGCTCCCAGAAGCATCTGGTGGGGCCACTGTGAGATCCAGGAAGC